TCAGGCCTGTTGCTGCCTTGGGCAAGAGGTTTTGTCCCTGGATTAAAAATATATTGGAAAGTCCCTAACTGGGATATTGGGAGACACATCCAATGATCCATGCCAGCTTGGAGACGGAATTATAATCGAGTGGAACCAGATACCCCAGGTCAGGATCCAAATGGAAAAACAATACCCTCCTGGTGGATGGGGGGGGTCAGTGGGGAGAGAGACAGAGAAAGAGAGAGCTAAAGACAGAGGGAAGAGGAGGGAGACAGAGAGAGGGAGACAGAGAGAGACAGAAGAAGGGAGAAAGAGAGAGCTAAAGACAGAGGGAAGAGGAAGGAGACAGAGAGAGACAGAAGAAGGGAGAAAGAGAGTGGGGAGGAGGAGGAAGAAAAGAAGAAAAAGACGAGGAGAGTAGGGAGAGGAAGGAGAGATGGAAAAGGAAAGGAGAAGGTGAGAGGGGAAAGGGAGGGATAGAGGTAGGCTGAGAGAGAGCCAGAGAGAGGAGAGATAGAGACAGAGAGCCAGAGAGAGCTAGGGACAATGAGCAAACATGTACCCAGAACCAGCTTTGGGCTTCTGTTAAAATATATATCCTGCCCCAAAGATGTTTACATCCCTTGGCCCTGAGATGCCTGGGAAGTGGTAATCTCCCTAAACTTTAATCCTCAGAGAGCACAAAGGGTCAGTCAAATCTTGTGATCCATTTGGCGGCTTTCTAGGCGACCCCAATCACACTTCTCCCTTCTCTGTCCTGCCCTGGCCCCAGAAACACATCAGCGCCAAGAAGACACTTTGTTCTCATTTCCTCCTGGCTGTAGGTGGGTTCTAGAGCTTCCTTGGGTTTACAAGAGGCTGCAGGAATTCATCACAAGGGTGGAGGCAACTCAGCACAGTGGGGAAAATGTTGGCTTTAAAGTCATCTTTCCTTTTAAGCTTGGATTCTGCCACTTGTTACCTGCATGACCTTGGGCAAGTCCCTCCTCCATTCTGGGCCTCAGTTTCCTCTCTTGTAGAGTGAAGAGGTAGGATGAGATGACCTCTAACATCCCTTCCATTGCTAAAGCTATGATCCTGGGTCTAGCAAGGACGGGAAAGAAGCAACCCACTCACTCACACCCTATTTTTTTCGAAGCTCCAGAAAGGGAGAGCTGCTGATTTTCCATTCTAGGGACTTTCAGTCCAGACCCTGAGGTTCTTAAAAGCGAGCAGAGAGAGTCTGTGTGGTAATGACCCATTCTCTGTGGCTTAGCCTCAAAATCCAAAGTTTTGAAGGCTCTATTATTCCTCCCTTAAGGAAACTCATTCCTCAGAGAGACTCTACTCTAATTAACCTCAGGTCTCTAAGGCCTCTTAAACCAACCAATTCTCAAGCTTCTCAGGAACTCTGAGGGGTGGGAAGGCTTTACTGTAACTCCCCCACCCCAATACAGTAGGGTGCAAAGAGCTGAAAAATCCACCTCTCTCAGGTTGGGATGGGAGTGGTAGTAGAAAAAGGAGGCCCATATTCTTTCTCCACCTCCTCTGCCTTTACCTCCTAGACTATGTCCTATCATAATGTAAACAAGAGAAACAACAACTCTCTGGAAAACCCTGACTCCCCATGGGGGCAGAGGCTCACATATATACTGCCAAGTAAAACATCACAGCCCCTGCCCCCATCTCGGTTTTGAAGCAAGATTCATTCTGGTTTGATCTCTACAACCTTGCCTGACCAGGAAACCGAGGGAATCTTTCTTGAGCTAGCAAAGTTGGGAGGGGAAAAGAGAGAAGCAAATAAACATGTTTGTATTTTATCTAATGAAGGAGTCTGTGTGGGTGAGAATGGAGTTTGGTAAAGATAGTTTATAGCCATGTGTGTGTGTGTGTGTGTGTGTGTGTGTGTGTGTGTGTGTGTGTCCTTGAAAAATCAAAACAGATCAAAGTCAAAGACTGGCTGATTTCTTGGGAGAAGGCAGCTCAAGAAAAAGATGAGGATGCAGAGCTAAGCAGCCTGAAGCCAGCAGGGTTTGCTCTCCTACAGGACCCAGTCTGTCCTCTGCTGGCGAACTCAAACCCCAGGCATCAGTGACACATCTAGATGGGCAGAGAGGAAGCCCCTCTGGGTCCTCCCATTAACAATCAGTTTCCCAGAAGAATAATTTCTCCTGCTGCTGCCCTTGCTGAGAATACACATACAACCTCTGTGAATACAAAGTTGCCCAACCAGGGTTAAAAGAGATCTTTAAAAACATCCCTGTTTACTCCGCTGCTAAAATTCTCAGCCTCTCTTTCCTCCCTTTGTCAGTCAAAGGACAAACCCTGGCAAGCATGATCCCTGCTTCTTTTGCCTATGGTTAGGCTCTGACCCTAAGCCCCAAGTTAGCCTGCAAAAGTCCCCTGGGGTTTGGAAAGGGGTTTTGCCTTCCTCAGCTCTTGTAGCAAGGGTCCATTGAGAAACATTTAGGGAACAAAAAAGAAAAGCAGATAAAATCTCAGTCTCTTTCTTGTTCACCTAGTGGGGGTAGGGATGGGTGGAGCATCTAAGAGGAAAAGCAAAGATTACAAATGAATAAAGTTTCCAAGCTCACCAGAGAAAGCTGAGCTTTTCTTTTTTTTTTTTTTTTGAGCTTTTCTAATACACATACATTTTAGGGTGAAGACAGGCTGTCACTGGGAAAAGGCTAAGAGGAAAATCTTACAATGCTTATTTCTTTCCCCTCTTACTCCTTGGCAAGCAGAGATCCTACCTCTCATCAGCTCTAAGAGCAATTTCTCTTCCTAAGAACAGGACTCCACCCGATGTGGGGGATCTGTCTTCGAACCTTTCTCCCCTAAGTCCTCATTCCAACAGGGCTATTTGCTAGTATTAAGAAGCCAGTCTGAATCAACGTTAAGGGTGAGGGGTATCTTTCTCTAGAACTAGGGCTGTAAAATAAGGTGATAGACATCTCACTCCCTCACCAATAAAAACACTGGGATGTTTAGAGCAGAGAAGGATGGAAGGGGAACCAAAAGGTCTCGGAAAGGAAAAGCGGGGGGAGCAGTTAAAGGGCCTTTACAGAAGGTGAGCCCATTATCTCCACTAAGACTAAAACAGAAAGCAATAAAATTCTGCTTGCAACACTTGTGCCCGAGGTCATGACAGCAAAAAGAAATTCTTCTTAGGGAAGGAGTTATTAGATAACATAATGGATGCCCAAAGGAGGTTATTTAGGAAGGGTTTGGTGAATCAGAACACCTCTCAAGGTCATAGGCCCTAAGGCCAATGATTCTACAATTGGTAAACTCAGGCAAGCAGAAGTCTGAGGTTCAAGTTTAGTACTACATAGAATTAGCATAGGAAAGTTAATACTTAAGGAAGAACCATTTCATAAATTCTCCAGGGTCCTCCTGAATCAAGCAGGAGTCATTAAGATCACTTCCGAATTTCTACAGCTTAATATTCCCAACTTCCTTAACCTTGCTGAGGAAACAGATCCTTTCTCTTCAGGTGAAACCTTGATATTGAGAAGCAAGTTGTGATCTTAACAGATTAGAATAAACAAATGATGGTGTTTCAGCTGAAGAGGAATAGATATTCCTTGGCATGGGAAGTTAAAGCTATGCCGAAAAGCCTACAAGTTGGCTCAGTGCAGTTTTCTGGGAAACACATCCAAAAAGATTTGCTTTCAAGTGCTTTTAGTCATTTTTTTTTCAGCTGGTAGTAAAAACAATGAAAGAAAACCAAATTAAAATGAACAGCAGCACCTCCCCCCCACCTCCTTTGCTAAGACTTGCTATCAGAAATAAATGTCTATCTGAAGAATGAGTTTACTGACCCAGAAAAAAAAAGAATTGACAGCTCAAGAGAATAGAGATTTAAAAGAGTAAATCTGATTCATAAATCACAAACATTTTCAATATGTCAAATATCTTCACATTTAATCTTACCTGGGCCAAGTACAAAATATACTTTCAAATTAACTCATGGAAAAACTGCCTAGTAGCATGCGAAGGACAGAAAATTCAGCTATGACAAAAAGTATATGCAGGCAATACAGTAATCCTGAAATATACAACGTATTTTCTAATGCCAACCAAGGAAAAGGATACAATTTTCAAACAAGCATGAGACATTTGATAGAGCTGTAAAGTAGGACAGGATTTCCGTATTATGTACATTAAAACCTGACATCCTGCATTTTCTCTTCCTCCCTCTTCTTTCCGCCTGCGGGCTCCCTCCCCCCCCAGTTTGGCAGGTCCTCTCAGCTTAAGGTATTACTGCTTCTAAGGAAAAATCGGTCACCTTTCAAAATAGGAAATAGATAACTAACCCTTTTCCAGCTGGAATGACTCTAATCATCTATGAAACATTACAAGCTAGGACAGAGAACGAGAAAGCCTAAACACCTCATTTACGTCACACGCCTCTCCCCACTTTCTGATCAACCACCACAATGTTTTTTCAGAAAGGGACTCCCCTCCCCCTTAAAAAAATTCCCCATTCTCTGATGTCTCCAAAGGGGTCTATGAAAAGTTCCTTGGGGAAGGAAAGAGGAGGGAAAAAAAACACTCAACACTACAATTCTGATTTATTCGCGTGAACATCAGAAAAACACGTTAGCAAAACATGTCCATATGGAGATAAGAGAAATACAATGATTTTCTGTTTGCATTGGAAACCCAACAGCTGTGGAAAACCTCGTCAATGTTACAAGCCAGTAACTTTTCATCTTTCAGTCTTTTTCGTTTATTAGCTTAAACTCAATTTACTCCGCTGATATTAAAACCATGGGGGGGGAGAAAAATCATCTTTCACAACCTTAAAATAGAAACACACTTTAATATCCATCTGCTCCACTCCATAAATTTACGGCAAGCGAATACACATCTGTTCTAACTTAGTTTCGAAGCTGAAATAGTGGAGCGAAATATCAGCATTATTAGCATCTTGTTTATCTTTTCCTTTCCCATCCTTCTCCCACCCCCACTTCCCACATCTGGGGTCTCATGAACCAGACAAAACTTCCTGGACTGAACTGAACACTACTCACCTTCACAAAGGAGAAGAAGCCCCACGAGCCCCCCGGGGGGAGACATCGTTTTCCCCCGCCAGTAGATGCAAGGACAGAGCGAACTAGCGAGGGAGCGGGGCACGCGTGCGTCCCGCGGGCGCAGGCGGGCAAGTCGCTGGCTGACCGAGGTTCGGGGCGTCCGTCCTCCGAGAGGCGCCGCTGGCCGCCTGCGGGTCTCCGCGCTGGGTGGCTGGCGGGCTCTTGCAGCAGCTGCGACTGTTGCTGCTGCTGCAGGGTCTGTCTGGGAAGCCTCAACCCGGCTGCCCCATAGTCTGAGGAGAGTGCGGATCTTCTAGGAGGTGCGCTCTCTCTTCTGGTCTCAGGGAACTGTGGCGATATGGCCAGGAGGAGGAGAGAGGGACAGAGCGAGATCGAGAGGGAGGGGAGAGAGAATAGGGGAGGGAGGCAGGGAGCGGGGAGAGAATAAGGGAGGGAGGGAGGGGCGGGGAGGGGGGAGTGGGGATGCAGGCGGACACACGCACGGACACACACACACGGACACACACACAACGGAGAGAGAAGGGTGTGAACCTGCAGCTAGGAGGCTCTTAGCAGAGCTGCCTCTGCCCCTGCCCCGGGTGTGCAGGTCTTTTTCTCCGGGTGGGGAGGGCTCCTCATATTCCCCCACGCTACACGCCCAGCCCGCCCCCTTCACTACATTTCTCCCAAGGGCTCGCTCCCGCGGGGTTTTGGTCCGGGCTCGGGGGAGGTCCCTCTCGCTCAGTTCAGCGCGGCGTTAGCTGCGCAACTTTCCAGAAGGGAAGAGAGAGAGAGAAAGAGAGGAGTGGGAGATGGCAAGCAGAGGAAGGGATTCTGCCTTGTACCCCAGAGGCTGCGCTGCCTCGCTCGCTGTGGAAGCGCTCGGGGAAGGGGCTGCCTGGGGGTTTGGGTAAGGAGGGCAGGGTAGGGCGTGAGTACTGGGGGGGGGGACGGTCTACAGAGGAACAGTCCCGGGGCGGGGCGGGGGCGCGAGCAGCTCAGCTTGGCTCCGCGTCTACCTTGGGGGGCGGAGGGAAGGTGCTGAGGCGGGGATGGCAGGTCCTAGGACGCGTGGACCAGCCGCTGTAAAGAGAAAGACGCGAGAAGGGTAGAGCCCTCGGGCGCATCACCACCTGGGCGCGGCAGTGCAGTCCTTACAAGTGGAGGATTGGGACAGACTGGAACTGGGTGACTCTTCTTGCAAATGGAGATTTGAGGCCAGGGGTGAAGGCTGTTGACGAGGTTCTTGGACCCTCGGTCAAAGGAGAAAGGGACAGGGGGATGGTAAACATGGATTTCTTAAAGTATTAAATGGAGAGGTTAGTGGGTGAGAGAAGCACGTGCCCTGGCAAAGTGAGGTGGAAAGAGCACTATATTGAGATTCTGCTCCTTTCCTGTCTGTGTAACCTTGGACAAGTTATTCACCTCTCTGGGCCTTAATTTCCTCACCTGTGATATGATGGAGTTGACTCGATGAAGTCATCGGTCCATCCAGTTCCAAATCCTATGATCTTAAGGTGGGATGGATCCTACAATCACTGGGTGAAGGGAAGGGGACATGAATTCTCATAGAATAAGTAGACTTTGAGGCTGATACAGGGACAAATGAGGGAGGATTATGTTGAATGGCAAACCCATATTATCCTGATTTTTACCTCTCTAAAAAAAACAAAACAAACCATAACCTCTGCTCTGGCTCTTCGACATAAAATATTGAAAATATCCGGGATTTCTGTGATGGAAACACTTCTTGACTTCAGTCTTTATTAGAGAGTCTTCATGAGCCTCTGTGGGGTGGGGATGGGGGGGTGGGGCTTCATTGCCTGGTGGCTGCCAATATTCAGATGTGGTAGTCTGAATTTAACTGGTCTTCACACTAAAGGTTTATGGTCTGAAGCTTTGACTCTTCTTGTACTCAAAGCTTGCTCAGCTTGGTAAAGCTTACCCCTCCCTGACAAATCCTTTGAATACCTGGGGTCCATCTCCTGTAAGGCACCAGAGGACCCTAGGAAGGACATATACATTAGTACTGAACATAACCAAAAAAGTAGAAGGTGGGAGCTAGGCCCAAATAGGACCTTTGGAGTATGGCAATGAGTGCTTTTAACTGTCTCTTGTTTGGCAATTAAAAAAAGGCATTTTTTTTAAATTAAGGGAACCAGAAGTGGTCTGGGAAGACAATCCAACCCCAGAGGCTCTTCCCCCCCCCCAAAGTAGGTTCTAGGAACTGCCTCTTAAAATTACCCTGGGGATCCAGAAGGCTTAGCCCTGTACTAAGGACTCCTTTCCCAAGTTGCTGCTGCTTCTTCCCAACCAGGCAGGTTCTGGAAACCCCAGTTTCCCTGAGTCCCATGGATCAAATCAAAGAGGGAAAGGGCCTTTGTTATTCAGAGTGTCAGGAAGATTGAAGCCTGTGGCTGTGGGTGGAGGAAATCCGAGGGACCCAGGATCCTCAATGTGACTCCCTTTCTCCTTCCCTCTCCTTCAGTAAGGACTGCTCTTACCCAACCCCTCCCTCACGAAGATGTAGTCAGAACTAAATAAGCAATTGCAAATCACTCTGCAGATATGAAGTCAAAGTGAAATCAGTCTCTACTGTGAGAGGAGCCAGCCAGCAGGATGGATGAGAAAATGCTCCAAGGCTTTGGCACATACACAAGTTGGCTCTGCCCCAGTACGTTCTACCAATGATGGCAAAGCACTCAGTCCAGAAAGTTCATAAAGGTAGGGCAGGGCCCAGCTCTCAGAGCAGCTATATGGCCTCTGGGCAGGACCATTTGCGAAGCAATAAGGGCATGTGCTCCAGGAGCAGACCTAGATTAGGGAACTACCTGGCTTGCAGGTGTCAAGGAGTTCTGAGAGCAGGAACTACTGGCTTCCCCAGATGTTGTCCAGTGGCCTGGTGGCCTGAGGTATTATTCCCTCCCCTCTCCATCCCCCCCCCATAGGAGAATTAGCCAGTCCAGTTTATTGACCCATCTCCCTATTTTAGATTCTTATCCAGTAATCTCTGCCCAGGACTTAGCCCAGATACAAGGAACATGAACAAAAACCAGCCACAAGTCAAGCCAGACTTGGTGGGAACCAGTAAACTACTCACCCCCACACTCCCCATGATACTTTCTGAAGCTTCCTGACATAGACTCATTCTCTGCCAGGACAGGATCTCACACTTCTCTGTGGGAGGAAAGGAGGAGGATATGTAGGCCAGAGGGAAGGGAGCTGAAGACCCTTCTCCTTTCATCCTTTAAAGCTTGTGACCCTCTATCCCCTCCCCAACTCCTCAAGTCCTAACCTCCCTCTTGACTTAGCCTCTTACAATCTTAATCATTACCTCCTAGGGAAACGCCTTCAGCTTAGTGCCATCACGGATACCTGGCTGGTGTGTATCTGATAGACACACCTCGGGGCCATGGCCTCCCTGGCTTTTCTCCTTCACTCAGGACTCTGTGTATCCAAATGCGAGCAGGCTTGTCATTGCTTAGGGAGGCCTGAGCTCTCCTTTTGCATTAAGGACGATGACCCTAGGGACCAGGTAGAGATACATCATAGATGTGTACCTATAAGAACCTAAGGAGGCATTCCATCCAGCAGAGGGCAGAGGTGAAGCATAGGTGCTTCAGTCACAAGCAGCTTGGGTAGAGAGGGAGGACCAGTGACAGTGACTCTGTCCCACCCCTCTGCCCAGTTCTTCCTGAATTCTTAGGATGGCTGTGTCACCTGTCAGATCACATTTAGACTCATAGGACCATGGGAATGAGTGCTGGAAAGGGGCCTCAGAGATTATCTAGTCTGACTTCTTCACTTCGCAAATGAGGAACCTGAAGGCCAGGGAGGCCATGTGGCTCAGTGGAAAGAACACTGCCCTGAGAATCAAAGGACCTAGGTTTGAGTCTTGGCTCTGCTGCTGACTGTCTGTAGGACTTTCGTCAGATTAACTCACTGGCCTTCATTTTCTTCATCTGTAAAATAGGGGGAAGGGGCAGATAATTACTACCTATGTGTCCTTCGGCAGTTCCTTTACCTCAGTGGGCCTTAGTTTCCTCGCCTGTGAAATAGGGATGGATGATTACTACCTGTCTGACCTTGGACAAGTTACAATCCTATTGAGTCTCATCTGTAAAATCTTTCCTCATCTGTAAAATGAGACAGTTAGACTAAATGGCCTCTGCTGTACCTTCAGGCTCTGGAGCTAGCCAACCTCTGATTGTCCTTTAGGCAGCTCTATTGCAATGATTGTATAATACATAGTAGTTAGTGGAATAAGATTCAAACTCAGATCTTCTGACTTCAAAGCCAGTACTTGATCTTTTTCACCATGTTGCAGCAGCTACAGACTCATTTGTGCATCACACTTCCTGCCCTGTCCCCTCCATGTTTTATAGATATTTTTTTCTCCACTAGATTCTCAACACCCAGAAGGCAAAAATAGGCTATTTGTATAACCAAGAGCACTTGGAATGGGTCAGACTAGGGACTGCAGTAACTAGTCAATAAATGTTTGCTTATCTTTTTTTGGTTCAAAGGTTGGAAATTGAGGGGATATCCATCAATTGGGGAATGACTGAACAAGGTGTGGTATGTGATTGTGACAGAATACTATTGTGCTATAAGAAATGGTGAGCAAGATGGTTTCAGAAAAACCTGGGAAGACATATATGAACTGATACAAAGTAAAATGAGCAGAACCAAGAGATCATTGTCACACAGTAACAGCAATATTGTACAATGATCAACTGTGAATGACTTAACTACTCTTATCAAGACAATGATCCAAGTCAGGTCCAAAGGACCCATGGTGAAAAATGCTATCTACCTCCAAAGAACTGATGAACTCTGAATGCAGATTCAGTCATACTTTTTAAACCTTATTTTTCTTGGTGGTTTTTGCAACATAGATAATATGGAAATATGTTAGTCGACACATTGCTTGCCTTCTCAAGGGTTTGGGGAGGGGTGGAAGGGAAGGAGAGAATTTGGCTCTCAAATTTTTAAAAAATTGAATGTTACTTTTATGTGTAATTGGCAGATATTTAGCAAAATAAATAAAAATATGTTGAAGAAATAAATACTTGCTAATTGACTGAATAATTGGCCTATGGAAGTAGTCTTCACAAGGAAAGTTTCTGTCTCTCTGTCTCTGTCTCTCTCCTTCCTTTCTCAGTTTTCTCTTTCTTCCTTTGAGCCTCTTAGAGAATACCTCTTTATGTTGCCTCATCTTAAACCAAGGCCTCTTTGGGGAATTGCTTGCACTTCTGAACTGTGTGGTTGCCCCAGTTCATTCTGTGCGTTAATACATTTGCTCCAGCAGGTACTTCAGAAGCATTTTTGAGTGCCTTTGGAATTC